CCCCAGTGTGTCTCTGCAGCATTGGTAATTAGTGCACAATACAATTTGCAGAAGGAATGAGGAAAAGCAGTGAAGTGCATTGATTAATATTGCCACTTAGTTTAACAGCAAGGCAAGCTACCATGTACCAAGGGCTAAATTACTTGTGGTGGGGGTCATGGGCTGTATGGAGAATCACGTGGTTTTAAAAATAAAATAATCGCTATGCCCATTGATCTGACAGTGTTCAGAATGTCTTTCCCAAAGCATCCTGCTGACAGATTTAGCATGTTGGCCAAAAAAGTGCATTACAACTTTCTTAAACAAGTAAAAACCTCTAACCTTAATGCCCTTAGATAGAGTGTTTCCAATTCTGAGTGGAGGAGGCTACCATCATCCTCCCTCTTACAAAGCCAGTAGGGAAAAAAGCTGTGTTTCACCTAACATTTCCGGGAATGCAACTTACAGGTTTGCTGTGATGCTGCTTAGTCTTACCCATGTGCTTCAGGGAATTGAATCTGGATGAAAAGGTGTGCTGCAAATGTAAGTTGCTTAAAGAAGCAGCATTAGCATTAATAAATGCCAACACGGGTCTAGTCCCATTCTAAATTCTTTTTTTTCCAGCTGCTGTAACTTGGGTTGAAGGTGTAAAAATCCATACCTTGACATGACCTAAGGACTTAGCCTGAAGTTCAGCTGCTAATGCAGATATTTACCTCATAATACAGATATATTTACTTCATTCTGTTTTGTTTTGGTTTGGTTTTTTTAAAAATTCTGTTAAAAAAACAAAACCAAAAACAAAACCCACAAAAAACCACCTTTCTGCTAACTTGACCTATCATCTAGAGAACTCCGCTGCTTTTTGGGAGCTTGTATTCAGAATATTATAGAGAGGCTGCTGAGGCTCATCTGACCCTCTGTTACCCCCTGCTGCTCTTCCATTTAGGCACCAGTAATACTATTATTGGGTGACCTGGGAAGTATTATGTGTGACTGCATGACTCTGAGGGTGTTCAAGGGTGTGGGGACCCAGGTGGTGTTACCCTTGATCCTGCCAGTAAGAGGGAAGGGCATGGAGGAGGGCTGGGTGAAGTAGATGAGGCCTCCTTCAGACAACTGGAAGAAGCATCATATTCACAGGTCCTGGTTCTTCGTGGGGGACCACAACAATGGTGATAATCTGCTGGAAGGACAACAGCATGGCACGAGTGCTCTAGGAGGTTTCTGGAGTCGACTGATGTCAACTTCCTGACACAAATGATTGAGATGCCAACAAAGAGAGGTGCTCTGCTTGACCTCAAACAAACAAAGAACTGGTTGTGGATGTCAAAGTTTGGGGGCAGCTTTGGCTGCAGTTACCATGATGTGGTGGAGTTCAGGATCCTGAGAGGAAGAAGGAAGACAAAAAGCAGGACCTCAGCTGTGGACTTCAGGAGAATAGATTTTGGCCTTCTCGGAGATCTGCTTGGAAGAATCCCATAGGATACAGTACTGGAGAGAAGAAGGATCACCTTGACCAAGCTCAAAAATGGTCTGTCCTGACAAGCAGGAAATAAAGCATGGATCAAGCAGGATCTTGTTTTCCTTGACTTTGGTAAGGCTGTGGACTCTCTGTCCCATAACATCCTAATAGAGAAGCAAAGTATGGGTTAAAGTAAACAGTGTGGTCAATTGAAAACTGGCTGAATGCCTGCGCACAGATGGTGGTGATTGGTTGCACAGAGTTCAGTAGGAGGCAAGTCACTAGTGATATACTCCCAGAGTCAAAAATGAATCCAATCCTGTTCAATGTCTTCATTAATGATCTAGATGATGGAGCAGAGTATACCCTCAGCAAGTTTGTGGATGATACAAAACTGTGCGGAGTAGTTGATACACCAGAGGGTTATGCTGCCATTGAGGGACCTCAACAGGCTGGAGAATTGGGCAGAGGGGAGCCTCATGAAGTTCTGCAAGGGGAAATGTGAAGCCCTGCACCTGGTCAGGAATAATGTACATGCTGAGCGCCAGCTGACTAGAAAGCAGCTCTACAGAAAGGGATCAGGATCCTGGGAGACTGCAAGATGAGCATAAGCCAGCAATGCGCCCTCATGGCAAGGATGGCCAGCAGCATCCCAAACTACATTAGGAAGAACATTGCCAGCAGATCGAAGGAGGTGATCTGTCCTCTTTGCTCAGCATTGATGAGGTCACATCTAGAGTGTCAAGTCCACCTCTGAGCTCCCTAGTACAAGAAGGAGATGAACTTACTGGAGCAAGTCCAGCAAAAAGCCACAAAGGGACTGGAGAATCTTACATATGAGGAGAGGCCGAGAGCTGAGACTGAGCCTCAAGAAGGGAAGGCTTGGGGGAGTGGATCTTACCAACATGAATAATACCCGATAGAATGGAATGAAGAAGAAGCAGCCAGACTTTTGAGTAGTACCCATTGACAGGACAAGGGTCAATGAGCACAAATTAAAACACATGAAATTCTATCTGAATACAAGGAAACAATTTTTACTATGAGGATGATAGTAGTGGCACAGGCTGCCTAGAGATGTTGTTGGGTACCTGCTTGTGGAGCTATTCAAAAGCCATCTGGACATAGTCCTGGGCAACCTGCTGTAGGTGACCCTGCTTGAGCAAGCAAGGCTGGACTAGATGATCTCCAGTGGTCCCTTCCAACTGCAACAACTCTGTGAACTCTTTTTAAAGTCCTGGCACTAAAAGCAGCAAATCTGAAAAACAGGCACTGTGAAAATAAGAAAATCTTACTCAGTTGATTACTCTCATACTAAAGGGATAGAATCCCTCTTTTGATTTGTCCCAGTGTAACTGTGGCAGCTAATCTTAGCATTCTGGAGTGAGAAGGTTTTTCTTCTCCAACCTTCTTATAGTGTGGGCCAAGGGAGAGTGCAGTAATGCTAAACAAGGAACAAAGGTTCATGGCAATACAGTCACTGGTTATTGCAACAGATATGTTGTGCTTGAATTCTTCCACAGAATGCAACACACTTCACCTGAGGCACTTCAAATGTGTATGGCTTATAGAAAACATTGATGCCCTAGAGAAGAAGGGGAGGAAAAGTTGTTACAGCAAGTGAGGCGTTGCACTTCCCCTTCAGTGTATGAGAGCATAATTTGTAACTACATATGTACAGATCACTGGATCTGAAATGGGAGAAGTGGACAGGATGATGTCCGATAGGCAGTTCTTTGTAATATAAATCAAATGGGAAACACATCTCAACCAAGTGTGTGTCTCGCTATAAAAAGCTTTGCAAGTATTGAAGTGCAGACTAGGTTAGTTTTCAGATAGTGCTATCCGGAGAGGATTCCGAAATTTGCTCTTATGTGTTGGCACTCCCAAGTTGGGACAGGTTCTTAGGGTATACATGGTGAATGTTTTAACGCCCATTTCTTTACAAATCTTTGTTACTTACTGTAAGGAGGAGCAAGAGGTTGAAAAACCTGCAGGATTTTGAGCCAGTGAACAGCAGCATATATTTGCTCCAAGAATCCAGGTGGCTGTGGGCTGTGTTCATTTTCTGCATTAGCTGTGGATGATCTGAGGAGCCCATTTCAATCACGGTACTGAAAGTAGTGTTAGGTTATGCTTGTTAATGAATGTTTTATCAAGTTATGGTCCCCACATGTTTATTACTGCTCAGAAACAGAAGATTCTGATATGCTGTTGACTGTTGTTCCTCTAGTACAAAAATCGGTGGTAGAGGAATGGTGAGAGGGGATTCAAATAGATTTGTGCTGAAGCAGATAAAGAGAATACAGGAATAACAGGTACAATAACTTTTTTCTCAAGGTAGTAACACATAACTTTGTATGGGAACTTGTTACATTGAGTCCAGCCAATGCACAAGTCATCTCTCTGTGCCCTCAGGATGTTTCCTGTGCTATTGACTGTGTTTTTCCTTCTTCAAGGAAAGAGCAATCTGTTGCAACAGATTTTAGAGACAGTCTTTGGCATTTTTGACTTGGAATCTGTGCTTTTGTGTCTTACATGCAGCATGACACTTTGGTAGTGATTGATATGTATTTTCAGGCTATTTGTAGATGATTGCAACTGTATAGACAGTTGCTTATTATTTTTGAGGAGTTAGTAATAAGTTGGATCAAAGAATGTATGCTGTATAATTTATCCAAAATGTTTGGAAACACTGACTTTATTAAATGAGCGAAAGGTCCAGTGTTTGTTCTCTGCTAATCTAAACGAAAGAATGAATATATGTACTTTTTTCCATTTGCAGCTTTTTTAGGCTTCTTTCTCCTCATTTTCTAATATAGTTCTGTAATTAAAACTTACTTGTTCTTTGTGAAAGAACATTCATGGTATGTTGGTATGTTTTTCATTTAAATACCTTGATATCAGAAATATGTCCTAAAAATATCTAGTAGCCATGCTTAAGAGAACTAACTATCACACTCAACATTTTAGTCAGATAATTTTTCCCTTTGTCACAATTTGTACTTTGCATTCTTCAAGTTCTTTAGTTGTATGAGCCTGTACCTTACACTCTCCAGGAGTGAATACTGGGGCCTTAAATTTGTTGTTGCTAATTACAGCTTGCTGATACTCCTTTTGTAGCCAAAATGGATTTGAAAAAGACCTCAATATAAGTAAGAGTCTAGTTCAACCTGCAAATTTCCCTATCTAAAGCAGAAATTCATCATGTATCACTAGGGTAGAGCTGATTTTTACAAAAGGTGGGTAGACAATTTCCTAGGGTCAGCATTATTTTAAGTAGTCATTTAAGGGGAAGAGGGATTAGGAAATGGTGATGAATTTCTCAGGTTTCCAGGAGAAAAATCCACTAAGTTAGTTGTAACTCCTACATCCATGTTCTAGGTAACACAGCTCTCATTTTTTAGTGGGATGAGGAAGCTATGAATCTGAAACTAGAGTACTTTCTCCTTTCTGCTACAAATAAGAATGTAGCAAGCCATTTTTGAATGAAAAATCTCAAGTTTCTACATCTTTTTCCAAATGAAAAAATATGTTTGCTTCTATTTCCAATTAGAAACACGCATCCTGGAACAGAAAAAGGAAGACTTTTGTATTGAGTTTCAGTTTCATCAGAATTCTCAAAAAACCCGAGAATTTTTCATCCAGGCAGAAGATGAAGCGCTGAAACTTTCAGATTTGCCAATAACCAGTCAAAGAGGAGGAGTTCCAAATGATTGTAATTCCAGTCCTGAAGAATTAAGGTAAGAACAACTATCCCTATATATAGTTTTTCTAGATTCAAATTATGGACAATATACACATGGATTTTCGGATAAAGATAGGGAAGTTTACTCCCCAACTGAGAATTAGCAAGTCAGCTTTTTGGTTAGACTCGTCATGTCTGCCCTTATTTTCTTGTGGAGTGCAGCATTTCACCACTGATAGAAAGTATGATCATGGCAATGGCTTATGTGACACACTGCAGGTATTTCAATGATTGTGCTCTCTCCAGAGGATTTTAAAAATGCGTACTGAACAGAATTAGAAAAGGTGATCTGAAAGTCTAGTAGTGTCGGTGGCTTTACACAACAAGCACAGCATACCATTAGGATGGTGAGTGAGTAGGAAGCAGGAATAAAACAGAGTGAAGTCTGGATGAAGTTGGAAGAGTGAAGATGAGGAGCTGTAATACTTCGTAGGCAGTCTGTGACAGGAATCTGGAGAGGGGCAAATATGGTTGAAAAGTGCAATACAAGCTCTGAAGACTTTATTCTGTCATTCATTTTGGTCATTTATTGTCATTAATTTCCATACTGAGCTATGGCCTTCTACTGTAGTCTTAAGAAACATATGCACTCATGCTATATGTGACATAATATATGAAGGTATACCCAACTGACTAGGGAACATGCTACCAATTTTGAGCAACTTAGGCATTCTGAAGCCCAGGTCTTAACTGAGAGTGACAGAGTTGCTTTTGAAAGTGATATCAAGGCTGCAGAGCCCTATAACATACTTTTGAAAAATATCCTCTAATTCTTCAACTGTCTGGCAACCTGGTTTTGTTATCTTTAGTATGATCTAGTGGTGACCCATTGGGCCAAAACTAGTCCATAATACTTTTCCATCTGTCTTGTTTCCTTTTTTTGCATTAGAGCCTTAGATATGCTGTTTGGGAAATACATTGTGCACTAAAAGCCACATATAATCCTGAGTGCTTAAGTACAGCTCAGCACAGAGTCAGCCAAAGATTGTTGCTCCTACTCTTCACCAGTGCCACTCACACTGACAATCAGACTGGTCTTGAACACTGAGATTAACCTCCCACAGCAGTCAGCATGTTGAACCATCTTGTCTGCAAATACATTGCATATAGGATCCTAAAGCTATAGGCCAAGAACTTATTGTGGTAGATACTATATAAACTGCACAAAATCTGTCCTTCCCCAAATAGATTGCAATTAGAATGTAAGATGAGAGAATATCTTGATACAGAATGACCCAGGAAACTACAAGTCAGTGTTGATTTGCATTGTAGATAGTGGTCTTAGTGTATCATCAATGTGACTTGTCAAGTTTTCTTTTAGACATCAGGAAAAAAACATTTAAGAGATTGATAGATGATGATGAGGTATATTCAAACTTGTTCATGGGAAGAATCTCCTGAACATGGAAAATGCACAAAAAAAGCTTGAGGTTTGCAATGTCTGGGCAATAGTACCCAGAGGCATCTATCACTTGCAGTCCGAAACAATACTAAATGAAATTTGCTGGACAGAGCAAAGATGAAATAGCCTTTGAAGGATCTTGAAAGTGAAGACAAGCAGCTTAAGCACTCTTCCACCCCATGTATAGTGTAATACACTAAGTACTTTTTTGATGTGAATCTCCCTGCTGTCTATGTTTGATGTGCTTTATGTTGCACTATATTTTGCCTGCAGAGTACAGATCTTAATTTCCTTCTTGAAGAACCATAGAGAAAATAAATCCAATGGAAGCAGGTGAAGAAAGGGGTGGCTGAACTGTCTACCTAAGAGAATGACTCTTCAGAGCAACAGATAGCTTTCCTTTTCTTTCTGGGATGTGAATTACACAAGTAATGTATGCAGTAGAAATAGGAGCTCAGAAGGTATAGCTTTTCTGTGGCTACTTCTTATGATTCATTGACTATGAAGCCTATAAACAGAAAATGCTTAAGGGAGGCGAATGTTAAAAATATTTGCTAATCCCCCTTCTGATCCATTAATCTACTGAATTTGCTCCTATCTTACAAGTGAGATCTGAGTTACCTGTGAGTATCAACGGATAGCCAAAGAGTTTTATAAAAGTCTTACCTTGAGACAGAATTTTTGTGGCCTTTGAATCTTGTCTTATTTTTCCCTGTCTGTGGCTAAATGAGTTATCTTAAAACTCTGTGAGTGCTCTACAGTATGGAATTCCTGTTTTCAGTTGTGCATCAGTTTGATCCCCACATTTCATTAGTTTGTCGCTCCGTGTTAAGCACAGGTTTTTAATATTTGCTTCCCTTAAACATTTTCTGTTTATAGGCTTCATAGCCAATTTATATTAATCTGTTTTATGCCTTAGTACTGTAGTATATTTATGTACTATTCCAGAATTACAGATTTCTTTTTTCAGAATTACAGATTTAAGAAGTGATAGAAGGACAGGCCTTTTACTGGCTATTTAATAAATTTGCAATGATTAATAAGTTTTGTTAATTTATTTCTGTGTATTTTGTTTTGGGGCAGGAGGGAGGAACTGGCTTTGCATTATTTTTCTTTCTTTTTTTTCTTTCCCTTCTAAACACAGCACTGCAGAAAGAAAGGCTAACAGGACGCTCCCTGAATTTATATCCTCATGGAAGGATGCTGCAGATTTAGGTGGAAAAACAGAAGCTGCATTCCTTTTAAAAGAATTGGACATTCTGAGGGCCAAAAATAAAAAGGTACAGTTGAGATATTCAGATAACAGTATTTGCTCTTTTATGGTTTTCTTAACAAAACATACATTTCAAACTGTTCCTAATTTAGTTTTGTTATTTATTTTAGTGCACCAATCAATAGCTTTCTTGTCATTTTGGATTCTTGGTATCTGCTTAACAACTGCTTTTCTGGAATTAAAAAAATCTTTCATCCTACCCTTTGACCTTTTTAATCAGTGGCATAGATTCTTGCACCATGGATGAAACCCAAGGAGGACCAAAACCCAGGCCAGGATTTCATTAATAGAATCTGGAGCTTGTGCTTCTGTACACGTGACCCAGATAATGAATGTGCCCTGATACCTCCTCTTTGAGGGGAAGAAAATTCCACCCTACTTGCACACTGCATTGCTTCTAGCATTGGCAGCAGTTGCATGTGCCTGAATAACAGAAAAGCCTATAGTCTTTCCATGAAGCATCATTGAATATTCAATGGAAAGCTCAGATATCTGTCCAAGAACAAATTTAATCAATTCCCAGTTAAAAGAAGGGCCTCAACATGTGAAAGAATACCAATTTTCTATCTGGCGATGCACATGAAAAATTACACGTTCACACAACAGTCTTTTCAGGCTGTGATGTCAGTACTCTTGGTAGGAAATAGGCTATTCATGCAGACACCACCTACATTATATTCCATGTAATTCTGAACTTCCTTAGCAAGAAGGACCACAGCTGGTGATAGCTGAAGAAGAGAATCCCAAGTAAAAATAATAGCAAACACACATTGCTGCTTGTCTCACAAAGCAGGATAGGGCAGATGATAAAAAAGATATTTTTAACATTTGTACTTTAAATAAATAAATACGATTAATTGAACTTCTCTTGTACTGCTTAGTGTTTGTATTTTTGGGGTAAGAAACTATTATTTAAAATTTTGTTGTGGTTAAAAGAGCTGGTTGACTCTTTCAGCCAGATAAGAATCTTACTGTCCATTTGTTCAATTCAGCTTCAAGATAAGCTGTCTGAAAAGGACAAGGAGCTGAAGACAATAAAATTGGACTTAGAACTGCAGGAGAGAGCTACAGAAGCTAAGATTGCAGAAAAGATTGCAGGTACAGTAGGCATGCATTTAACAGATGGCTGTATGGCTCATACAGTACATGCAGTTGCTATATGACGTGGCCTAGTGAATGTGAGCTTTATTTGCTAAAGGAGGGAAGATTTGACTTTTCTTTTATGTGTGGCTGTTTAGAGTTGCTTAGAAAATAGGTGGCTTTAAGATCCTGGTACTGGTATTAGCAGGAGCTTTACCTGTATTCATACTGATTTGGGCATTAAATGCATTGTTAACACCATGTCAATCCAATCACAAAAAGGTTGTTTGTTTTGTTGGAAGGTCCTGAACAAACAAGGGGAAATAATGATTACCAGTGCCTCTACCTTTCAACCAGCAGTTCAAATACCACTTATTGTTTTAGCTCATTCAGAGCAATACTACCCCCTCCCCATGTATGGAGATAGTCACACATTCGCCTCAACTAGACACCTGCACTTTTCTTGAAAAATCTGTTCTTTTCGTAGTTATAATGAATTTTTGTCTGATGATAGTATGTCTCCAGTGAATGAAGTTTATACAAATTCCCAAAATGAAACGTTTTTAAGTTTATAATTGAAAGTGAATGCATGTTTATGTTTGTTGTTAATTGTTCTTTGGGTAGACATATAATAATGGAGACGGTTTTGTATGCAATGATTTTGGCAATTTCTAAAGTAATGAAGCTGAGTATTTTTATTATTGAAAAGTGACTGTGTGCACAGTCTACCCAGTGGATGGAAAATACTCTGAGGTTTTTTCTTCAAGTGTTTCAAAGAAATTAATGGGAGTGCTTTTATAAATTCATCATATCATTTGTTCATAAATAAAGTGTAAGCTAAGTAAAATTTTGTCCTCATAGACCATGCACACTTCATATAGTATTAATAGTACTAATACCTGTCCCCAAAATATTGATACTAAAGGGAGGAGTAACTGTATTCAAGAAAATAGAGCAGAAAATAAATTCTCCAGCTAAAAAAACAGATGGCTGACTTTCTACTTACTGTCAAACTCCTGAGAATACAGTATTCTGTGTATATTATAGATGGAAGAGAGAGTTCCTAGATTTTCTGTGGTGGAGGAAGGGAAAGGCAATCTAATATACAGCAAAACAAATTGAAATATGGGCACAATTTTATTCTTATTTCATTTTACATAAATTGCTTGTTTTATTTTCAGGAGAAAAAAAATCTGCACTGCATATCATAGTTATGTCCAGCAGCCAAAAGCTAATGCAAATTGTTTGGGTTGAATCCCAGGTTTTGTGTTTATTCCTGGATATTTGCACAGTCTTTTACCTCTGTACCTATGATAGAGAAATATTGTCTTTGATATAGGTGTTCATTGCTCATTAAAACCTGGAAAGAAATGTGTGTCAAAAGGTGTGTCAAAAACATGTTTAGTTTCATTTTTATGGATACAGTTGAAATATTGGGTAGGAAATTGGTTTTTTCCTACAGTACTGTTTAAACTTCCTAGTTATGTCCTAAGCATAATATTATCTTCAAAACAGTATGGCATGAATATGGATATAATAATTGACATATTCTTCCTTTTAAAATGGAATAACTAAGCCAAATTTTAGTGAGAGCTACAATGTGTAGTAAGGATGACCTTTAAAAAAATACTGATTTTTTTTTTCTCCTTTTACGAGTTCAGGAAGTATAAAATCCTTTAAATGTTGAGAGAGAGTAAGAGGCTACTTACTACTTAAGCTGTTTGCCAAAAGGAAGCATCGTTAATATTTCATGGGTTTTTTGCTTCCTGTCTTACAGTTCTAAGAATGTTACCAGGTTTGGATAAAAGTTTTGAAATCTGGAATGATGTGAACCAAACTGAATTTCTGGAGGTCTAGGTGTCTCTCTCATAAAAGCCTTGGGGAGAGTACTAATGGACGAGCAGAACCTAATAAAGAAAACTCAGTGTGTTTAAGGAAAAACTTTTTCCCCTTGTCTTATGTCCTTTGAGGAAAGGAGAACACATGCTGCTGTGATTTCATGTTGCTAGTTAATGTTTAATTACTGCAGTGTATAACACATGGTAGAGTGAAGCTTGTAAATGGATGTTTGCATTTTTATTATTATTTAGTACTGACTTAATGATAAGAAAATGACTCCACAAAATTGTGTTGTAAAAAACATCAGAAAGGTACACCATAACAATGTTGTCTACTCTGAGGAATATTACAATTCTATTTTAAAATATAACTCTCTAATTGATGGCTTTTACCTAAACAAGTCCTGTGGAAATAACAGAAAAGCTGAAGACAAAGGCCATTTTAAAATGAAGCTACAACAGTCTTCAGAAACAAATAACCCAAAGCTTGTCACTTTGTGATTTTCATTTTGTTCAGAGGAAGAAGTGAAGAGAAAAAGTGTAAATTTGTGAAATGCTTAATGAGAGAATATGAAAAAGCAGAGTTAAGGCAGAAGATATACATGATGGAAGAGAACGTTGTGTGCAGTAAATAACTTATTTTCAGAAGATGTTTATTTTTACATTTTACTAGCCTGAAAAATGGATTTTAGAACTTCCTTGGGTCCCTATTTCTGTGTCGAGTAGCTATGGCTAAGGAAAATTAGGGAATTTGCAGTTTCGATTGCAGACGTTTAAGCATTAGAGACTATTGTTTCTGGTGGTCATAGTTGCCACAGGTTCATGCTATTTCTTCATTATTCTTCTGTTGGGTTTCCTTTCATTATAAACCAATGTCAGAAAGTACTGTTAATTTAACTCCCCATCGTGAAGAGAAGAACAGAGATGGAGGCAACATCAGGAAAATCAAGGGAAAAGCACATCATAAAAGAGCTGAGACTAGGATAATGTAAGGAAAAAAGGGAACACCACATGTGAACTGGGTATGAAAAATACATAAGTCTTGAAATGTGGGACTGCAGAACTTTCATATGTTGAACAGGAAAGGGAATGGGTGCACTCTGTAGGAGGGAGAAGGGGGAAGGAGCACACATCTTCTGAGGACAGACTGGAAGATAAGAGTGGAGGTGTTGCAAAAAGGTATCTTCAAAAGAACTAGCAGAGAGAACAGATCTCACTTTGGATGGACATAATAAGTTGCTTCGTTTTTTCCTAACAGAAGAATTATACAGGGGGTATATAGGAACTTTTAGAGCTGGTTGAATATAGGTGAGAATTGTAGAGCATAGTGGTAGCCTTTCTAGACTGGAAAAAATTCCAAAGCCAAGGTCTTCTCACAGTAACTCCCACCATTACTGCAACAAGATATACCATAGTTGGGATCGGAACCTCAGCTCTTGGAATATTTTTTGTTGCTATCACAGTGCTATATATTGGGACTAAGAATAATTCTGAAGGAAAATACAATAACAAATATTTCTCCTTAAATCTTTCTGTAGCAAGGACTGTTCTGTGGCTGTTTTTGCCAATATCTAATGGTAATGTTACCAAAATTTAATACTTTTCTAAATCAGAGTCAACTCAGCATGAAGAAGTGTACTGAGTCCAGCCCTGCTAGGTCTGTTAGGTGTTGCACACCACCTTTAATGCCTGAAAACTGTATTAGCGTTCTGCAGATGCTCTCTGAAAGACCAGGATAATGATAGAAAATCAGTGTGGAAAAAGGGGAAAGCAGTACTTCTAACGCTGTTGTGTATGTTATACAGATTTAAATCTCTTGGAAACTATGGCAATATACTTACAATGAACTCCCTTTTTCCAAGTCTGTTTTACAAAAATGTTGAGAATTAACATTTGTGGTATTTTAGAATTCTTGAATATGATATGGAAATGTTCATGAACATTATTTGAAGTTTCCTAAATTAACTTGAAAAATAATTGCTGAATGCATATGCAGTAGTTTTAATAGCAAAAGTGAAAACAAATATCCAAGTGGCTATTAGCTTAGAGTTAGTTTTATTTAAAATCCCATAAAATAAGAGGAAATAAGTAATCTTGCCAGTAATAAACTTTGGGTGGCAATAACTTCTAGCACAGAGGAAAAGTATTTTCCATTTCTTGAAAGCTCACTTTAGAGTCCCTTTTTAGATGTTATTTTTCTTTCTTGCATGTCATCCATTAAAGATTAGCTGTGGAAGGTTGGAGCATGGAGAGATTATGAATGACAGAACAACTCCTGCAGAATAATAATCAGGTTTTGGTATTTAATGCTGTTTGACTTTTGCAGACACATTTCTTATTAACCTTTGGTACAAACAGAAATCCAGGTTCCTGATATCTCATGGAGAAGATGAATTCAAGATCCTCTTCCAATTAAACTGAAATAAGGCCAATATTGGGCTTTAGCCAAAAGAACTCAATAGTTCTGAACCCTTGTGTTTATAAACCTAAGTATGAATGATATTTTAACAGTTTAAGTAGGTAATGCATATGCTTCCCTAACTCAGTTTTCTGTGCATAATTTGTTTATATAGATAGTCTATATAGTTCTTAAGGGGATTGTTCTATTAATGCTTTGTTATGCAAAACTATTTCCTGAATATTTTTCAAAATATTTCCTGGTAAATAACAGAATTTTGAAAACAGCTGTAGGATTTGAACCTTCTGTATGGGAAGGCAGACAATCCTTCTAAAGGACAGAAAAACCCCTCCAAGGAGGGGGTGTTGTGACTGAGAATGCCTTGGCTTAATTTTTAACACCTTAATTTGAAACAATGTCATTTTACCGTCAGATTGTCAGAATTTTTGATTGTCAAAGAGTTGTGTGCAGCTCTTGGAAGTACAAAATACGATGAGCTGGCATAGATTAAAATGTAAATTACTAAGCTATTTATGGGTGGAGCTTATATGTATAAAGCAAGCTAGTATCTTCTGCAAACTTTTATGATTAGTCTCGCCCTTCTCTCTTCCCCACTACAATGCTAGATGAACATAAAGAATTGGGGTTTTTTTCAGGAATAAAAAGTTCTGCAAATAATCAACTTCTTGACATATTACAAAACCTTTTCTTTAACCTGTTAAATTATAACTTGCAAACTTTAATGAAGCATTTGTATTTTTCCCCCTAAAGTAAATATTCAA